TCGTCTTCATCCTTCTGCTGTGGTTTCCCTGTAAATTGTTCTTAATTTTAATTAGTGTATCCTTCATTTCTGACTAGGTCTTTTTTATGCTCTTAAGGTCCTCGCTAAGTTCCTTGAGTGTCCTTATAACTAGTGTTTTGAACTCTGCATCTGATAGATTGCTTATCTCCATTTTGTCTAGCTCTTTCTCTGGAATTTTGATCTGTTCTTTCATTTAGGGCCCAGGGATGTCCAACCTTATGGCATCTCTGGGCTACATGAGAAGAAGAAGAGCTGTCTTGGGCCACACATTCAATACACAAACACTAATGAAAACTGATGAGCCAAAAAAAAAAAAAAAAAATTCAGAGATATGACAAAGGCTTTATGTTGGGCCACATTCACAGCCACCCTGGGCCTCATGCAGCCCACAGGCTGTGGGTTGGATGACTCTGAATTTCAGGCCGTATTTCTTTGTCTCTTTGTTTTGGCAGCCTCCCTGCATTTGTTTCTAGTATTAGGTAGAGCTGCTTTGACTCTCTGTCTCAGTAGTATGGCCTAATGTAGGAGGTGTCCTGTCCTGTAGGGTCCAGTTGTACAGCCTCCCCTGTCATCAAAGCTGGATACTCAAGGTGCACCCTCTCCATGGTTTGAGTACAACCTCTTTTTGTAATTGAGCCTTGGTTGCTGTTGGCAGATCAATGGGAGGCATTTACCCAAACCAGTCAGCTGCAAGGATTGGTTGTGATCACTGGCCGCCAATGGCTGCCCTTCGTGGGGGATCACCTGTGCAGGGGCAGGGTAGCGGTCCTCTGGGTGTGCAGGCCCTGGGGTTTCCCAGGTGGTGCAGACCAAGGTCAGCCTCCACCTGGTTTTACCCAGGGCTGCCCTTCCTGAGCTATAAAGCAATCTGAGATGACTGCTACTTGTGCTGGGCTTGGAGATTCTGAGGTGAAGCCAAGTTGTGAAACTAGGCTGGCTACTGCTAGTACCTGGCCTGGGTCTCACTGAGGCCAGCTGTTGCTTTTTGATAGGCTTTTCAGTTGTAAAGCTTGAGCCAAGACGAGCCATTCATATGGTAAACTTTCTTGACTGGGCCCATAAGTTGGGTGGATCTCTGAGGATCTCCAAGTGAGGTTAAACAGTGTTAGCCAGGTTGATGGGATCTTAGATATGGCACCAACTTGCTGGCTCTGTGGCAGGAGGGGTTAGCAACGGGACAGTGGCTTGTGATTGCTTTAATGCCAGACACTTCAGTTTCTCCCTTTATACCAATGGTGCCTTTGAAGCTGCTACCCTGGTGCTGGAGCTCAGAAGGACTGAATAGGTGAGCCCGTGTGTGGGGTCTTTAAGGGGACCAGCTTGGGGATCCAGCATTTTCTTCCACTGACTCAGTTCCCGCTGGTTTTTGCAGCCAGAAGCTGTGGGAACTTACCTTCCTGGCACTGGCACCCTGGGCTGGAGCCCTGGTATATTGCTGGGACCCCTTGCTCCTGAGATACCCCTCCCAAGTTTTATCTATTGCATGTGGGTGTGGGACAGGCCCGTTCTGTGTCTGTACCTCTCCTACCAGTCTGGATGGATGTGATTTCTTTAATTCTGTAGTTGTTAGACTTCCATTCAGCTCAATTTCTGACCATTCACTGTGATGGCTGTTGTATATTTTAGTTGTAATTTTCATGTGGTTACCTGAAGTGGCAAGCCATGTCTGCCTATGCTGTCTTCTTGTCCAGAAGTCCCTCCTTTGGGAATTTCTACTGAGTCAGGGTGAGTGTCAGTGAACTTCCTCAGCCTTTCCTTGTCTGGGGATGTCTTTCTTATTTCTGAATAACAGGTTTTCTGGATAAATACTGTTTGTTTGCAGGTTTTTTCTTTTAGTGTTTTCAATATTTCAGTTCATTTTCTTATAGCTTTCAAGGTTTTTTCACAGAAGTTTACTCATAGCATATGGGTGTGTTTTTTTCTCTGAGAAGTATTTCTACTCTTGTGCTTTTAAAACTTTCTTTGTTTTTCTTTTTTGACACTTTTATTATAATGTGTCTTGGTGAAGTCGTACTCTGATTAACCTATACAGTTACCTGTGGGAAACCACAAACCTTATTATTCCCATGTCTTTTCAGATTTGGAAAGTCAGCCTTCAGATTATTATTTGAAATAAACTTTCTAATTTTTTCTCGTTCTCTCACCTTTTTTCCAGTGTTCCCAGGGTTACTGTGGTTCATAATAACACAGTATCTTAGTGGTTTTCACCAAACAGCCTACTAAGTTCAATGCTACCACAAGCACAGTGGCTGACAAAGGTAATTCAGACCCGTCTTTTGTCCCTTGCTGACTGCACATAGCTTTACTCACCTAGTCTTCTTATTCTTTTTTTTCTGAGCAGTTCTGTTTTTTGCTTTCTTCCATTCTTGATTCTTGGTTAAACTCTTTTACCCATCCCCCAGGACTGTTATTATTTATGGATAGCTGTGCACTTGTTCATGGAATGGGGATAAATTCTCCTATCTCCTATTCTTTTATTTTGCTGATATAACCCACAGAGATCTTTTTACTGTAGTCTGTTTTGTGCTGTCTTGTTCTATCATAGTGCTTACCATCCATCTTTTCAGTTTCTCTCTTAGGATTTCTTTATTCATAGAATGGCTCAACTGAGAGTGAAGGGAAAGAGTCATTTGTGCGTCACAGGAGGAGTATCACTCCATCCATTTGGATGGGATCAGAAAGGGTTATGCCTTGGTGAATGGCAGTTGGTGAGGGTTTGATACCAGAGATTTGTTAAGGTCATTACTAGGGTTTTGTTACCATTGCTTTTCCACACCTTAATCTACTTGCCCTTGCATATTGTTCACACTTTTCAAACTACTGTGTTCTGACAGTTACATCTTCTAGGATTCCCAGCATATGAATAATTTCCCTTTTTCTAAACCCTTCACCTCAACTATTTCTCTCCTTACTGCTCTCCATCCTTGATCTATGCCTGTAGATCCTCAGAATGTGCACGTATTGTTTTTTATATTACTATTTTTAAATTTTCACCTGAGTAAATGTTTGTTGATTTTAGAGACAGGCAGAGAGAGAGAGAGAGAGAGAGAGAGAGAGAAACAACAATCAGTTAATCAGTTGGCTCCTGGACATGCCCCACCGGGGGATGGAGACCAGTCTGCAACCTTTTGGTCTATGCTCCAACCAAGTGAGCCATTTCAGCTAGGACTCAGGTATTCTGCCCCCCTTCTTTGGAAGATTTTAATAAATTTTTTTAATTGTATTTTTTCCCATTACCATTTACTCCCTTTATACTCCCCACTCCCTACCACACTATTGTCCATGTCCAAAAGGAGAACTCCTTTTTTCTTTCTGCTCATTTTGCTACCCCCTAACCAACCCACCCCAAAACTGTCAGCCTGCTCTCTATCTATGAGACTGTCTCTATTTTGCTTGTTAGTTCTTTTTGTTCATTAGATTCCATGTGATTGAAATCATACGGTATTTGTCTTTGACTATCTTATTTCACTTAATATAGTGTTCTCCAGGTCCATCTATGCTGTCACAAGGGATAAAATTTTCTTATTTTTTTATGGCTGGGTAGTATTCCATTGTGTATATGTACCATTTTTTTTTAAACTTTGTTTTGTGTGTGTTTGTTTTTTTTTTGAAAAGGAAAAGGAACTATTTATTCAAAAGTTATACAGGTTTGTTTAATGGCTAAATGTCACCCTCAAACCTCAAAATCCCTTCAAAACAACCACCAGCACACACACCGTGCTGCCTTCCCCCCTTTGCCCAGTCAGGCCAGTCAGGGTACCATCCTTCAGAAGAAAAAGAACAGAAGTCTGGGGCTCGGCTGGGCAGGCCTCTCGCAGGTCTCAGCACCATCCACTGCGTCGCCACGGTCTCCAGCTCTTAATCCATAACCATGTGGCACCTTCTCATGGCCCACAAGCAAGAGTCCTTTCTCCCCTCTTTCTTCCTGTGTGGTGTTCACACTGTTCCCCAGAGTCTGTGTCCCCTTGTCTCTCCTGCGGGTCCCTGTCTCTCCTCTTTCTCAGTTACATTCTCTAAACTTTGTTTTTTAAAAAGATTTTTTATTAATATTTAGAGAGAGGGGATGGGAGGGAGAAAGACACCCGACCTACTCACCCACACCAGCCAGGGCAGCACTCGCATATTTTTCTTCTTCTTTTTTAAGATTTTATTTATTTATTTTTAGAGAGAGGGTAAGAGATGGAGAAAGAAAGGGAAAGAAACAGCAATGTGTGATTGCCTCTCGTGTGCCCCCGACTGGGGACCTGGTCCGTAACCCAAGCGTGTGCCCTGATAGGGAATCGAACTGGCGACCCCCTGCTTCTCAGTCTAGCACTCAATCCACTGAGCCACACCAGCCAGGGCACATAGTCTTACATTGACATTGAATATCATGTGCTCTGATGAAATTAATTTTTTTTTGAAGGCAGATTACCTCTGAAGATTGTATGTATGTATTTTTAGAGAGAGGAAGGGAGAGAAAAAGAGAGGGAGAGAGGAACATCAATGTGTGTGGTAGAAAATCAGTTGGATGCCTTTTGTATGTGTCCCACCTGGGGACTGGGTCTGCAACCCAGACATGCCCTGAGCGGGAATGGAACTGGCAACATTTTGCTGTGCACAATGATACCAAACTAAATGAGCCAGACCAGACTGGGCTGGAGTTGATTTTTATGGGTTCATGCACGTTCAAATTTTTCTACACAGCCTCTCATCACCAGAAGGAAAGGTCCTACAGGAAGCCATTTATGGAGAAAACACTGGTAGGCTCTGCCTCCTTTCTTTGTTTCACATTCTATGCTTGTATCTTTTTTGGTGAGGTCTCCACCATTTACTGACCTTTGGGACCAACCATATAACAGCCCTTTCCTCAGTGTAACTCATTGTCTTTAAAATCATTCCATAGGATTGTGCATAGCTGTGACAATGAACATTTGTAACTATAAAATTCCTTCACTATATGGTTAGCACGCATTTCAAAAGCATTTTCTTTTTGTCAGGTTGCTGCTGTGGAGCAGAGGATGTGGAGGCACCTACAGAACGGAACCTTTCTATACAAGCATCACAGAAAAAGAATTCCAAGATAACTTTGTCTTTCCAGAACAGCCACCCCTGTGACAGTTGTGGGCCAGTCCTGAAAGACATTTTCCTCTTGGTTGACCATCAGGGAACGCAACACAGCCAGAAACTGTTGAGATGTGGGGCATGTAAAAAACGATTTTATTTCAGAGCTAAACATCACCAGGAACAGCAAATGAGAGAGAAGTCTTTCATACAAGATGAGGACAGGGCCTCGCTTGTGAAGAGCTGCAATTTCAATGTGTCCCGAAAACTTTTTACCTGTGGGGAGCTTGGGCAGAATGTTTTTACCAGCTCAGGACATATCCAACAACAGGCTACTTACACCAAGAACAAGCCAAATAAGATGTCAACATCTGAGGTGGGTTTTCAAAGGAGAAAACATCGCACAAGGAAAGAATGTAAGAAAGCCACTGACCGCAAACACACACTTGTTCCAGATCAAGCTGTCCAAACTGGAAGACAGTGTTTTGTCTGCCACGAATGTAAAAAATGTTTTCTAGGAATCTCTGGGCTTGATTTTCATCAGAAAGTTCACACAGGGGGAAAGCCATATAAGTGCAGTAAATGTGGTAGAAACTTAAAACATCACTATTTCCATATTCAACATTATCAAGTTCACTCTGGAGAAAAGCCTTATAGATGTGGTGAATGCGGGAAATGTTTTAAACATAGCTCAAACCTCATTATACACCAGAGAGTCCACACTGGAGAAAAGCCTTATGAATGTGACAGATGTGGGAAATCCTTTAGCCAATTGGGAAGCCTCATTCAACACCGAAGGGTTCATACTGGAGAAAAGCCATATGAGTGCAATGAATGTGGAAAATCTTTTACCAGAATCTCTGGCCTTCATCGTCATCAGAGACTTCACACCGGAGAAAGGCCTTATGAATGCAGTGAATGTGGAAAATCTTTTAAAAGGAAATGGCACTTTCTTTGTCATCAGAGAAGTCACACTGGAGAAAGGCCTTATGAGTGCAGTGAATGTGGAAAGTGTTTTAAGAGTAAATGTCACTTCCGTGATCATCAGAAACTTCACACTGGAGAAAAACCTTATCAGTGCAGTGAATGTGGGAAATCTTTCATTGTAAACTCTGCCCTCCGTCATCATCAGAGAGTTCACACTGGAGAAAAGCCTTACAAGTGCAATGAATGTGGAAAATCTTTTACCTGGAGCTCTAGTCTTCTTTATCATCAGAGAGTTCACTCTGGAGAAAGGCCTTATGAGTGCAATGAATGTGGGAAATCTTTTAATAGGAAATACCAGTTGCGTTGTCATCAAAGAGTTCACAGTGGACAAAGGCCTTATGAATGCAGTTAAGTAGAACACTTTATACCACTAGCCGTGGCCTCTGTTACTGTCAGAGGTTTTACACTGGAGAAAAACATTAAAAGTGCAGTGAATATGAGAAATCTTTTTTCATTAGCATCAGAGTTCACTGTTCTCAGAAAGCTCCCAGAGGACAAAGGTCATATCAGTTCAGTGAATGTGGGAAATCTTTTTTCAGAATCTCTGACCTTCATTGTCATTAGACAGTTCACACCGAAGGAATTTTAAAAACAAAGTGTTCGCCCTTCGGTATGTTTATTCCTTTCAGAGAGAGTGGAAGGGAGAGGAAGACAGAGAAAATGATGTGAGAAAGAAAGATTGGTTGCCTCTCCTACGTGCTCCGGTGGGGGGCTGAACCTACAGCCTGCGCACCAGGCATGTGCCATGACTCACTATCAAAACACTGACCTTTTGCTTTACATGACAACAGCCAACCAATTGAGCAATAATGGTCACAAGAACCTCAAGTACTTGTGACAGCAGCCTGAATTTTTCCCTTGTTCATGGAGTATGCCAATAATTTTGAAGGGAATCACTTTCAAGAGTTGTTCAAAGGTTCATGTGTTATAACATCAGTAATTACATAAGTAAGTGATGGTCTCTTAGTTGTATGACCAAAGAAGTTCGATAATCAATAACCATGATTATTACAGAATCACCTACATCATAAAGATTTGCGAAGACTGCAGCCAGCCATGTGGAATGTGCTGCTTCTAATCGTGTCCAGAAAAATTTCTGAAAATGACTGCAGAATCTGTGTGTACAGAAATCTGAGGATCTCCAGGCATGTGTGTCTTTTGTGGTTCAAGTCATTGTCAGTGAAAATTAACAATTTTATGAATTTATATACCCTCTCAGAAGTTTACCTGAAGATCACTAATGTCTACACAGAAAAGTCAAAGATAAGGAAAAGTGGTATCTATCATCCAGTGGTGTGGCTTTTGTGTATCTAACATTTCTGCTGATTTGTTAAAGGTCATTCATTACTTGGCATATTTGCTGTAAATAAGGCAAGAGTGACTCTGGAGGGCATGAGAACATGGATCGAATATAGAGTTGTCAAACCTATTTTCCAAAATGTTGGGCATGGAGTGGGGTTTTTTTATGCTGAAGCATTTTTGAAATGTTTTAATTAGCATACAGTATATTTGAATGAGAGTATCATCTGGAATTTTACATATGTATTAAGCTGAAACCCTCACCATAATTATAGTACCATATCTGACCCTGTGTATTTACCTCACATGCTTTTATAATCTCTCTCCCTGCCCTTTACAATTCTCTAATTAACCATTACTTTATTTTTTACTTTAATAGATAACTTGGCATTTCCTAGAATTTATATGATGAGAGTAGAAGTAGTTTTTGTACTTTAATTTATGTCGCATAAATACTTGAAGATTCATTTATGATATATTTGTAGTTCTTTTTCTTTTGGAAATATTCTTTGAGTTTATCAACATTTGTTAATGTACATTGGGCTATTTCTAAGTTTTGATGACTGAAAATAAAGCTGGGACAAATATTTGTGTATAATTCTTGCTCCTCTTCTTCTGGAATCCCTATGATTTGGATATTGGCATGTTTAGAGATGTCCCAGAGTCGTACTCTCCTCCTTTTTTTGAATTCTCGTTTCTTTCTGTTCTAGTTGAATGTTTATTTCATCCTTGTGTTCAAAGTCATTTATTTGAATCCCAGCTTCCTTCCCTTTACTGTCGGTTCCTTGTGGATTTTTTTTTCACTTAGTGTAGCCTTTGTTTCTTCCCTTATGCTTTTGCCATACTCAGTGAGTTCTGTGAACATCCTGATCAGTAGTGTTTTGAATTCTGCATCTGATAGGTTGGCTATCTCTGTTTTGTTTAGTTGTTTTTCTGCAGTTTTTTCTGTTCTTTCATTTGAGTCATATTTCTTTGTCTCCTCAATTTGGTGGCCTCCCTGTGTTTGTTTCTGTGTGTTCAGTAGGGCTGCTTTGATGCTGTCTTACCACACCTGTTAAGTTGTATGGAGCAGAGCCTTAGGTGCCGCGACCTGCGCAGAGTGGTGGAAGGACAACACAACACAAAGACACAACACAAGGCAGTTTAGAGAAAAGCGGGGGCCAGGTGTGGCATTGCCCTCTGATGGAGAGACAATGACAATGGCCATGGTCTCTGTGTTTATTTTATAGGGGTTGGTTAGATAAAGCTCAAGGGAGTTTTGCAGACTTAGGGGAACGCTGTGGGCACAGATTGTTCTGTTTCCAGGCTATCTACATGATAAAACTTTCTTCTGCAAAGGTTGCAGTCTTCAGCTGAAGCTTGCTATTATCTACTCCTTTTCCACCCACCCTGGGCTCGGGCTGTCGCCAGTTGCCGGCCTCCTCTGCCTTGCATATACAAGTGGTCGAGCATGGCCTTGCCAAGCGCTTAACCTGGCTTTTGACGTCAGCCTTCACCATCCTCCACACTTAGGTATTCACAGGAATGGGGTAACCCACTTGACCACTTCGTGGTTCTGTGTGTGGAGGATGGGTCCGGGAGGAGCAATGCTGCTGCCTGGCTTCTGGAAGCTTGCCTGACACTCACTTCTCCAGCCACTTAACCCACTTCCCATATGCGACTGATGCACTTTTAGCTGTTGTCCTGGTGGTGGTTCCCAGGGTGGGTGGGCTTGCATAGTTCTAAGTCTGTGGGCCCTTGAAATGAACTCTCCTGAGCAACCAACAGTTTCTTCCACCACCCCAACCCCCAGTGGTTTTTAAAGCCAGAAATTAGGTTTTATTTTGCTGGCACTGGAACCCTGGGCTGCACTGTCTGGCCTGGGGTTGGGATCACTTGCTCCCAAGGTATCCTTTCCAATTTTTACCAACCACACGTGAATGTGGGACTGCCCATTCGGCCTCTGCTGCTGCCTCTCCCTCGCCATATCACATCCTTTCTGCCCCTCTTACCTATGTGGATGAATATGGCCTCTTTAAATCCTTGGTTGTTGACTTACATACAGTTTGATATTCTGGCAGTTCTGGGTGATTTTTTTGTTTTGAGGTGGTGATTCTTTCTGTGGTGGTGTGAAGAGGCAAAGTGTCTACGTACAACTCTATCTTGACAGGAAGCCCCAGGCTGCATGGATTAAAAAACTGAAGCTCCATGCCATCGTCGGGCTTAAGTTTATTTTACTTCCTCTTTTTCCTTGTCCGAGGAAAATCTGCCATCAGGCAGGGTGTTGATTACTATGACCTGCTTGTTGGGGTCATTGAGGATGAGGTAATTGCCCTCTTGTAATTAATGCAAATGTCCATGATGCAGAGCAAAATGTGCCAGGTGTTCTCTATGCTCGGGGTGATCTGGTTGGGAAACTCATTGGGCTTGAACTGCTGTGTGCCCAGGATGGCATGGTACAAGGGGCCTTTCACATGGTTTTGGGACAGGTAAGCAAGCCTGCTGACTCAGGTCCAGCCAGCAAACCACAGAAAGTCCATCAGGCCAACTTGCAGCTATTGTTCTTCAGCTTCATGGCAATGACAGCACCTGATTAAGAGTCCAGCTTCTGAGTCCACTCAACACCACACAGTGCATGGAGTGTCACTTGATGAAGGTGTGGTGTTGATGAAGGATACTTCCCTATGGGCTATGCAACAGTGGAAAATCAGGACACAATTGTTTCCAAGCTTTCACCTACTAGACCAGTTTTCAATAGATTTCTTATCCATGTCGTTCTCCACAAATGGGTTTGGGTTGGTGAAGTTGTATATTTCATTCCCCATCTTCAGGCACTGCTGGGAGAAGTTGTGTTTGATGCAGGTTGGCTCCATGGCCAGGTTTCAATCCCCCAAAGGGGCTTCTTGGTGGTCTCATTGTCAGGAGATCAAAGTCAAGGTTGTGGCTACTGTCAAATAAGAGCTTGGACCTGACTCTCTGGATGGCAATGTCCCCTGAGTACACGTAGTGGGCACAGCTCTTAAGTGTGCCCAAGATGGTTGGTGGCCAACACATTGCTTTAGATGTTCCAGGTTTCAGATGACAGGGTCAACTGTGATAGTGTGTGGAAGATGCTCTTGATGCTTAACAGAGGTTGTTGCTCTTTGTGGGGATGCGATTAAAGGCTTTATCATAGTATTCTAGAGCCGTGCATCACTGGATGTCCTGTGGCTCTGATACTTTCAAGTAAAGCATCTTCATTAACTGAGGAAAGTCCATTTCTCCTTCTGCTCCCAGTCTCCACCAACTTCAGAGTCTCATGGTCTCTCTTAAGTTTATTTTCATTTGGTTCTCAATCTAAATTGTTTCTGGAACTTTTTTTTTCACAGGTGTATGCATTCACTCTCTCTGCTTGGCCCTCTCAGGCAAGGTATGCAGATTTTTGAATCCGTGGAGGTTCAGCCATGCAAATCACATCAGATTCTGCTGGTAGGCTGTCTTCTGTGTGTACATTGTGCCCACCAGGTGGAAACAGCTTCATCTTCCTCAAAAATATAAGTGTACTGACTTCCACAACCAAAGTGGGAAGAATACTTATACATGTCTCTTTGAATTTGGTATGTGGCCCCCATTCAAACTGCAAACTTTGTCAGCCTTTCTCCTTTGCTGAATGGGTAGTAGGGCATATTTTAGAAATGCTAAGGAACTTCACAGGGTCCCTAGCCCAAGGGGCTGTCCTGAATCAAGGCTGTCATAAATTTTCCATCTTGTAAAACCTGCAAGGATCTTGGCCCATCCATATTGCAAAGATGATTGGAGACAGAGACCTCAACATCAGCTGTTATCTAATGAATGGGGAAAAAAGAACTTGAAAATTTTAAGTAGGAGAGAGCTTCTGGCAGGATTACTATTGATTTTTAATTTTTAAAAATTTTATTGATTTTATAGTGAGATGATGGGACAGAGAAATAGGGAAACATCAATTTGTTGTTCCACTTCTGCATGCATTCATTGGTTAATTCTTCTATGTGCCCTAACTGGATCAGATCCACAACCTTGGAGTATATAGACAATGCTTTAAGCACCTGAGCTACCCGGCCAATACTGGTTTTTAATTTTTATTGCATGTACACATACCCATAAGTTAGATCATTAAAATATCTCATGTGTTGTAAAAAATCCTGATCTATATATAGGTCAAATTTCAGTATAACTTTGTACTTCTTCATTTACTATGAATGTAATTTGTGAATAGGTTTCTAACCTTAATGCATTGACAATGCCATACTCTATTATTATCTCTACTATAAATCTTTAAATATGTCTGTTTCTCAGAAGGTCTCTATTATGATAATTATATCTCTTATCTCTACAATAAACCTTTATGTCTATTACTCAGAAGGTCTCTATTATTATAATCATTATAATAGCATTGTCACACTAACAAAAATACCAATAAGTTTGTCAGAATTCAATTTTTTCAGTTTTTAAAAATTTATTTTTCTCAATTGAAATTTAAATAATAAACAGTTTATGTTTATGTTATGCATTTTACATTTTTTATTTCAAAAGTCTCTCCTACATTCTTGTTACGTTTTTCATATGTATGATGGTGTAACTAGATCATTTGTCTAGTAATAGCTCCCAGATTCTTCCATTCGAGCATACCACCCTTTATTGTGATGTGCTTTAGTGAGCTTCACAGACAGTACACTTTCATCAGTGCGAAGGCAAGACCCTCCACCTGCAAAAAGACTGCATGCAATTCTATGAAGGCTAAGATGATGGTTTGCATTTTTTAGCCATAAGTATTCTAATTGAGGTATATACATTACTGTTTTTGAGATAATGCTATGGCACATTTAGTATATTACAGTAGTGCACAGAGTAACCATAAATTTTGTATGCACCGTGAAACAAACAAATTCGTTTGAGTAGCTTTATTGGCAAATTCAATTGAATGGTCTGGAATCGAACCTGCATTGTTTTAGAGGAATGCTTGTAGTTACATGTCTTTGATGTCCACAATATGTTCTCCATTGTTGACATTAAATGTATAATTTGAACCAAAAGAATCAGATCAAATCCACACTGTTTTACAGGCAGAGCTGAGGGACTTCTGATTACATCAGGAATACATGCTGTTAAGTATTAGTGTCTGTTTTGTGACATTAACTGCATAGTGAGCCCATGTGGTGCAGGATAAACAGCCTAAGGGACATCAGCCACTTCCCCCCAAAGACATTCTGCCTGAAGGAACTGGATGCTAGGTGACCTGATCAACAAAAAAAAAAAAGGATGCCTGAAGGTTAGAAAGAAGATATGCAAAAGCAGCAGCTAAAGGAAATCATCCATGTGCACTGTAGACAACCTTGCCCTAGAAATGGACCTCCACTGGGGGTACTAGATTGCACTTAATATTTTCACTGTATTCTTGCGATATATGCACCCACATTGGGCAAGCTTCGAAACAGAACTAGGCCGGCCCATCCACCAGGCTGGAAGCCAGACTTGGTCGTAACCTTCTATATCAATCTCTTTCTTACCTTTCTCTACCTGGAAACAAACCCAAATAAATAACCCCCTCCTCTAGCCATCACTTCGTCTTGGGTGAG